TCAGCCGTACCAACTTATACCTACACCATTTACCATCGAAGCGTTGATGGCAAAGAATATGTCGTAAACACCCTCCCCTACAGTTGACGCCTTCACAGCCACACTCACTTAATGCACATCAAATTTTCTCCCCTCGTAAGGAGCGCACATATCATGACTATCATCATCATTACATACACATGTCGAGAAAACTATTTCTCACACACAAAGAGCTGAGCGCCGATCCTATATAGCAATGGTCGACCAGAGACACAGACTATTCTCCCATCACTACAGTTTAGTATCATCCTGCCTCACACCGCTCTCTGGTGGAGGGGCGTTCCTATCTACGAATACTGGCGACCAAGAGGCATCCGTAGTAGTCATGGTGAAGCCTTTAAGAGTTATACCACAAGCTCCACCTGAGGGAAGTATTCATTTCACGCCATAAATCCCCATCATGGATTTGAACCAACGACCTTCGGCATGATAGCACAGTCCACTACCCATCTCACCAGTTGTGCGCTCAGCATTACTATAGGCATAACGTATGTGTATATTAGATACCCTCAGCTCCACATTCTCCGCCATTTTCCGACATACCGATGCTATATACCTGCAATAAACCCACTTCGCCATAGCGAAGCGAAAGCCTCCAAATGATAATCACCAGAAACGACGAGCCTAAACAGTTCTTCTTCTCCTAATGCGAATTCCCATATTCAACTTCATGTCAATATTCCTTTCATAGCCAAGTCACTTCAGGTCTAGACTCACTTCACTCGAGTGAGCTCAAAAGCAGATAAGATAAACGATACAATTGGCATCTACCACACCGACTTGATCCATCATAGCACCTTCCAGCCGTCGTGCTCGTCCCCCCCTCCCTTTATCACTACCCTTCCTTGATATTCTCCTTCTTATTACTGCTGCCTCCTTTCTCTACATTATCGCCCTCATTCTCGTCGAAGACCTCCTGTTGGGCCATAACTTCACATTGCATATCCACAGCTGTCGCCAGCTTGGCACGAGATGCCTTCAATCGGGCTACCTCGTATCTGAAAACATCAAAAACTCTCCCCCCCATATCAGTCCTCACTATGTATCAACAGACATACGATGTACTGCCATACGCAGTATACCTACCCCATGAGAAGCTAAGGTCTCCACATATTAAACAATATCTAATAAGTCTGATGTGAAGGCTGATGATAAGGCGTCGTATATAGTGCCGTAAAAAAATTGAGTCCCAATATGTGTCCTATCAAAATATAATGGTCACATTTCACCATAGAGATTGTTTAATTGTTTGATCGGTTAAGGTTGATGAACGTTTCACTTGTGACTCGTATAACCTACTATGTCAATCGTGTATAATTCTGTTTCGACAAAAAAACCATAGAGATTGCGCACTCTGTACCGGTTACCCTTCCTTTGGCTCACTACTAAGGAAGACTTTCAGCCACGAGCATGGTTGAAATTTCGATATGGCACGATGAGCCTCAATAAACAGTAATATAATGCTTCTATAAACATACCACTGCTACTCCACAACGCCATTACTATCCTTATACATAATAACAAAGTAATGAAGTAAAACCTCAAAAATTTATACATAACTTCAAATTACTAGCGATATGGTTGATAAGTAAATGCACCCCTTTCCGAATCACTTTTGGCTCCATTCCTCTCTACGTTTCGGCTCCACCACGAAATATAGATCCTCCAACTCGATCACCACGGGCGATGACCCTAGTCTATTCCAGGGTACCTAAACTCACTCAAGCTCCCCTTCGCAGGATGGGAAAATATGTATATGGTCAACAACGATATATAAAAATTTTGAGGGAATTATTTTTGGTTTTTTGTACACTTTCTTTACTTGAGGGAACTCCTGCTGAAGTCCAGCTGATTCCAACAGTGGTTAAACATGAGCTCACATAGACGTGCAGACTGCCGAGTTTGCCGTGTATAAGTTTGACAGGAAGATGTAACATGTCAACTGCTTCCTGTTTGAAGTCGACATTCTGAAGATGCACGTGGCCACTGTAGACCCCTATACTGAGGTTCTTTCGATCAAGACCATCGAAGTAGTCCCCGAGGTACTGTGATAAGTACCGACTCACGATACCCTCGAACATGAAGGGGAGGGGAGAGTGTCAGAGAATAAATCAAAAAAAGAGAATGAACAACTTCCAAG